GCAGGCCTCAGTGAGCGCGTCGCCTGCGCCGCCCGTGCGGCCTGGCCATGGCCGACCGCGGTTGCCTGCTGGAGGCGGCGCCGCTGCCCCCCGAGGTGCGCGAGAGCCTGGCAGAACTGGAGCTGGAGCTGTCGGAAGGTGAGTGCGGGCGGCCGGGACCCCGCCTGGGACCCCACACCCAGGACCCTGCCCTGCACCCGAGATCCCCACTCGAGACGCGCCTGGAATCGCAGCAGGCAACCGCGGTCACCCCAATGCCAGGAACCCCGCAACTTCGCATCGAGGAGCCCCCGACCCCGCACTTGGTAGCCCGGAACCCCTCACCCAGGAGCTACGGAACCCTTCTTCCGGGATACCTGGAACCCCGCTAGCCCTCTCGCAGGACCCCTCACCCCCACCCCGCCCTCACTTGCGACCCTGGAACCCACCACCCAGGATGCCTGAACTCCGTGCCCCCGACCCCTGGAATTCTTCATCCAGGACCCTGCCAGTCTCTGCAGCGCCACCGTACCACGATCTCAGTCGCAGAGCCCCGCCCCGCCCCCAGACATCTGCCCCAGGGCCCACACTTGGCAGAGGCTGCTGGTCTCCCCAGGTGCGCAGCTTCCAGCCCCAGCCCTGGGACTCCAGGTTCCGCAGCCCTGGGCCTCAGTTGCCTTACCTGTGAAATGGAGTAACAGCACTTTCAGAATTTCGAGGCTGAAATACCTGAATACTGTATATACAAAGCCCTTAACACAGGTTAGCGCCTTTTGTGGGATTTTTAAAAGTTAAACAAGCCCCATAATGGTTGCCTGATTGACAACAGTAGACTCCCCAGTAATTAGGCTTGGGAGGTGGAGGGTGGCTGGTTTGATGTTGCTTCTACGCAAGGTCTGGGTCCTGATAGCCCATTCAGTTGTTCCTGGGAAAAGAGTGAGTTCTTAGGAATCGGGAAGGCCTTGTGGCCCTCTAAGAAAAGCCTATATATGCTTCTTAACTTTGCTTTGGGGACTTAATTGCATTTTCAGTTTTTAGAATCCATATTTTCATAATCGTATTTTTGCTTAAATTTTTAATTGGTATGTTTGGCTGGGGCTGGTGTAAATGCTTAAAATAACACCTAATTAAATAGGTATACTCACATATTAACTCATCTAATTCTCACTGACTTTAGGGAGGTGGGCACTGTTTGTGGTGCCTCACGCAGGGCCACATAATACACATAATGCAACATTTGCTTGCAACTATTTTGAATTCAGCATTCAAATTTAAAAATTTTGGGATATGTGGCACCTTTTAAAAATGGAAGTACTGTTAAGATGCGTAGATTTGAAAATTCTTGGTGATTAGATAATCTTGGAAAGTCTGAAATTATGAATGGTTCTGATAGGATCTACTGTATGCATTTGTTAAAGCTTTGCATCTAGAGAGAACCACGCAGTTATAGTTTAGCTATTTCATGTGTCAAATGCGTTTTTGCAAATTGCTCCTAATTTCTGCTTCATTATATTCATTGGTCTCTCAGTTCCTTGTGGTTCTATTTCCATAGTTGTTACGAGTTGACAGTTAAATTGTTTCCTTTCCTCAAAAAACTTAATCTGTGTGACAGAACACAAGTATTTTGATGAAAGAAATATTTGTTAAGTAAACTTTCTTATTTACTGGTTCCATTTATAGTGCCACTTTGGACAAATATGTAGGGGCAGTATGGGTAAGAAGAGGGAGTAAGATCATATAACAGATAGAGGAACCTGAAAAAGTAGCTTAAGCTGAGAAAAGGGATGGACAGCAAAGTGTTAAAGGAGAGACACGTCAGAGTGCAGTGGCAGCCAAGGAGGCAGCAGCCCTTCAGTCTTCCCCTCTCCTAGACTGGCCTGACACCTTTCTTTTGGCCAAAATAGTTAGCAATCACTTAGGCACAGTCACACCTGGCCCTGTTCCCAGGGCACTTCCACACCTGTAATGTTGGCTTCTGCAGTCTGTGTTGTGGTTGTTGTCAACATGAGACTGTCTTGTGAAAGGGACCAGGTCTTAAGCAGAATTTTAAGGTCTTTACACAGTGGCTGGCGTCTAATAAGTGTTTCAGAATCTCCACTAAAATACATCTCAAAAATTGGGTTTGATCAGCTATAAAAGGAGGTGAATATCAGCCTTATTAACATTTCAAGATTCTTGTAAAGATTCACTCAGTATAGTGAATGCTTTGAAACTTGCCAATGTGCTGGCACATGTGTATAATCCAAGCACTCAGGAGGCTGAGGCAGGATTGCCACAAGTTCAAGGCCAGCCTGGGATACATAGTGAATTGAAGGCCAACCAGAACTACATAGCAAGACCCTGTGTCAAAAACCAAACCAAACCAAGCCAAGCCAAACCTCAAAGAAAACAAAAACCAAAAAACTAATGATGTGTTTTTATAAATTGAAAGTGTATTTTTTTTTTTTTTTTTTTTTTTTTTTTTGGTTTTTCTCTGGTACCGGGAACCGAACTCACGACCTTGCGCTTGCCAGGCAGGCGCTTTTGCCGCTGAGCTAAATCCCCAGCCCCTGAAAGTGTATTAATAAGGAATTACAGTCCTAAACTGAAGAAGTGTTTTGTCATCCTTATTTTGATCAAGCAGAGGTTGTAAAAAAGTGGGACTCTGTCTGACCTGTGACCTTGCCCTTCCCATATTCAGGGGTGGAGAGAAGCTATCTAGTTCAGAATAAAGTCTTGTCAAAAAGGGGTAGCTTCTAGGTAGCGCTCATACTTTATAGAGTTGTTCCCGCTAGGTAGGTTAGAGGGGAGGGGCACCTTACCAGAGAGAGTGCTGCCTTCTTGGGGACTGGTGGTAAGTGATACTCACATAACCTGGGCAGTCTTGCATGACCTCCCCTCAGCAGTCCACAAGTGGACAGCTGGAACTGTCCTCTGCCTCGTTCACAACCTACATGTGATGTAGCTCTCTACCACCTCAGTGGGTTCTCATCAACCGTTGTAACTGGGTAGCCCTCAGGGAAGCCTCTGGTCTTAGGGTGCCCTGTTTCCTCCTATAGAGAGGTTTTGCTGATTTTTTACTATAGATTCCCAAGAGGGTAGTCTGATAAAACTGTTTTCTTGCTCCCTAATTTTTCTGCCTACTTCAGCCTTTGTTGGTTTTGGATCTCCTTCAGATTAAGATTAGGGTAACTCTGGTGGAGCTACAAAATGCCACTCTTTCTTAGGCCTGCCCCGATCATAAACACATACAGAGGAATTCAATCAATGGCTCTAAAAGCACATCAGAATGTTCATGCATGAAAGGGAGATTATTAGAAGCATAGCCTTGTTTTCTTAAGAATTCCCAAACTTCTGTGGTTCACCTACGATTGTAAAAAATACCTTGGACACACCTCACAACGGATTTTGGAACACACATGGCCCACAGTATCTGGAAGTTATGGGTGCTGAGCTACTTTGAAAACATAGACAATTTTGTAAGGTTTGTTTTTTATTGTAGTGGCCTGCAGCGAGTTAGAGAGGAAATGCTCACACAATAGGCTGCATTTGTCCCACTCCTGCGTCTTTATTCTGGTTATTAGAATAAATAGACCATGTTTTAACTTGAGTCTTTTTTTTTTGCATTCTGATGTTGTAGGGATGCCAGCTTGGGTGGAATCAGGTGAAAAGAGGTTGAAAAGCTCAGTTTGTACATGTGTGGAAAGGGGCCTCCTTCAAGAAATATGTAATCTTTTTAGCTGTCTTTACTTTCTAAAATCTGCAATGTGACTCTTAGTTTTTATGGTTTTTCTTTTTTTTGGTTTCTTTTTTTTTTTTTTTTTTTTTTTTTTTTTGTCTTTTTGAGACAGGGTCTTGTTGTGCAGTTCAGGCTGGCCTTGAGCTTACTTTCTAGCCCAAGCTGGTCTCAACTCCCAACAATCCTCCTGCCTCAGCTTCCCGAGTGCTGGGATTACAGGCGTGCGCCACCACACCCGGCAATTCTTAGTCTTTAAAATGACATCCTGACATTGCTTGAAGGTTAACAGATGTTTGGTGTGTTTCCTAAGTATTTTGTGAAATGTCACAGTTCTGATGTCCAAATTCTGCTCGCCTGTAAAGTCCAGCCTAAACATCTTATTCTGAACCTTCCCTAATCCTTTCTGGTGTGACATTTTCTTAGAACTCCCACTGCACTTGTGCCCTCTCCTGTAGTTCTTGACATTTCTTGGTTTTTTGTTTATTATACATGTTCATTAATTCAGGAGTTATTGAGAACCCACTGAGTGCTAGGTAATGTTCCATCAGGCTTAGCTCTGTTTTTTTCCATTGATCACAGGCCTCGCACAGTGTTGTAAAAAAGAGGTGGGAGAGTTCAAAGGAAGTGTGGGATAGACTGAGGCTCCCATTCAGTCCTGATCTTTCCTCAAGGTGACCTTGTGTCTGTTCTTTCCAGGAGTAATCTGTTAGTGATTTCCAAACTATAGTTCACAGACCTTTCAGGGTCCCTGAGAGCCTTCCTGAAGGCTGTGAGGGAAAATTATTTTCAGAGTAATACTAAGGTGCCATTTCTGCTTTCACTGTCTGGACATTTGCAGTGCTAAAACCAGTGTTAGAGAAAAGTCTGGCACTTTAAGCACGGTCAGTGCAGGGACTCCAAACAGCAACCATGGTCACTGCATTATTCACTATGCTCCCACTTACTATTCCAAAAAAAAAACCAGTGACACCACTTTCACATAACCATACTTAATGAAGCAGGAAAGATTAATTGTTGAAGATCAGTGCCCTTGAGAACATGCCTTTGTGACAGTCTGTGTGAAGAAATGGGAAGAACACTTGTGCTATACCAGAAGGTGCAGAATGCCTGTCAGAGGAGCAGCAGTTGTGCAGTCAGAGTTGCAATAAGCAATGTGAACAAGTTGTTTTTGTTGTGAAATGCCACATTTTTTTTTTTTATTTTAAAGAGTAAAAGAAGGATAACATAATAATAGGGGGGACTTAGCAAATTACAGACAAAATGGTAGGAAATTATCAATGGTTATCGTTTTACATATTGTTATCTACAAAATAGTTTCTCAGGAAAACAAATAGACAAATAATAGTGAGTTAGAGACAAAAGAGGTAGGAAATTATCAAGAATTGTTGTACTATACTTTGGTATCTTCAAAGTGGCTTCTAAAGAAAATAAATAGATCTAT